CCAGTCCCCACCACCCAGTCTCCATCACCTGGTCTCCCTTACCCAGTCTCCACCATCCAGTCCCCACCGCTCAGTCTCCATCACCCAGTCCCCACCACCCAGTCTCCATCACCTGGTCTCCCTTACCCAGTCTCCATCATCCAGTCCCCACCATCCAGTCTCCACCACCCAGTCTCCACCACCCAGTCCCCATCACCCAGCCCCCACCACCCAGTCTCCATTACCCAGTCTCCGTTACCCAGTCTCCACCACCCAGTCCCCATCACCCAGCCCCCACCACCCAGTCTCCATTACCCAGTCTCCGTTACCCAGTCTCCACCATCCAGTCCCCACCGCTCAGTCTCCATCACCCAGTCCCCACCACCCAGTCTCCATCACCTGGCCTCCCTTACCCAGTTTCCATCATCCACTTCCCACCATCCAGTCCCCACCGCTCAGTCTCCATCACCCAGTCCCCACCACCCAGTCTCCATCACCCGGTCTCCCTTACCCAGTCTCCACCATTCAGTCTCCATCACCTAGTCTCCCTTATCCAGTCTCCATCACCCAGCTAGCTCAGAGCTAATCTTGTTTCATCCATGTCCCCATCCATTTCCTTTACCTTCAAAACAAATCTCAGAAATTGTATTATTTCATCCAAAAAAGGTAAGAATAATCTAAAAGATGAGAAGTCTTTTATTAATGTAACTATAATATTATTTTTACCCCTAAAAAGAAATTGTTTTATAATATCATCAACTACTTGGTCAACATTCTATATATTTTATAGATATTTTCTTTTATTTTTATAGTTTGAATTCGTATTCAAAATAGGCTAATGTGTTGCAATTGGTTAACATGTCAGTTTTGGGTTTTTTTGAGTCTAGAGTTTCCTCTCCATCTCTTTTCTTCTTTGCAATTTATCTGTAAAAAAAAAAAAAAAGCATGACCCTTCGTCCTGTGGGAATCACCACATCTGCATTTTGCGGATCGCAAGCCCATGGAGTAGTTTCATATGTATTCTGTCCCCAGTGGTTCTCATAGATTGGGAGTTGGATCCAGAAGTTTGATAAGATACAGGCTCCACCTTTTTTGGCAAGAATATCCTTTATTTTTTAATGCTCACACGAGGAGTATGTTTTTTTTAAAAAATCCTCACCAGAGGATATTTTTTCCATGGATTCTCAGATAGAGTGGAAGGGGAGAGAGAGAAACATCGATATGAGAGAGACACTTCAACTGGTTGCCTCCTGCACAACCCCAACCAGGGACAGGAATCGAACTGCAACTGAGATACGTGCCCTTGACTGGAATCAAATATGAGACTCTGGTTCTTGGGCTGACGTCTAACCTCTGAGCCAAACCAGCCAGGGCCAAGGATATGTTTTTATTGATTTTTTTAGAGAGAGAAGAAGGGAGAGGGAGAGAGAGAGACATATTGATGTGAGAGAGAAACATCTTTTGGTTGCCTCCCATACATACCCTGACCAGGGATCGAACCCACAACCTGGATATGTGCCCTGACCAGGAATTGAATCCTCAACCTTTCAGTGTACGGGACAATGCTCCAACCAATTGAACCACGCTGGCCAGAGCTTGGCAAGAAGTATTTCATAGGTAATATTGTTTCTTCCATCAGGAGGCATAGACTGATCACCTCTCCTTTTGTGATGTTACCATATTGCTTTTTAAAAAAATTTATTTTGAAAAAGCTTCAAACCTACGGAAATTTGCAGGGAGGGGGTGGGGACTGCCACAGTGGGTGGGGTGAGAAGAAAGGCTTCCTCCCACGCCCATCACTGCACTGGCACTAGAGGAGAGACCACATCCCGGGAGGCCCCAGGGCAGCCGTCTGGTCTGTGGCTCTGCCCACTTTCCTGGAGCCTGATGCCCACAGCCCTGCCAAGGCCAAGGTAAGCTGAGGACACGCAGGCTCCGAGGATCATGCTTCCCTGGGCTCTCACTGAGTGGCTTCCATGGGCTGGCCCTGGGCTCAGCACATGTGTGCCTTGGCCCATCTGATGTCCAAGACTCCTCCGGCCAGGTGCTATTATTACCTCTCATTTCCCAGAGGAGGCTACCAAGGCTCAGAAAGGGGACCTGCCCAGGGCCACGCAGGGTCAATTCTGTGAGGAGAGGCTACTATTATTATTTAAAATTTTTTTTTCTTTATTGATTTTAGAGAGGAAGGGAGAGGGAGAGAGATAGAAACATCGATGAGAGAACATTGATTGGCCGCCTCCTGCATGCCACCACGGGGATCTGGCCCACAACCTGGGCATGTGCCCTGACCAGGAATCAAACCGGTGACCTCGGTGCATGGGTCGACCCTTAACCCCTGAGCCACACCGGCTGGGCGAGACCATTATTATTTTTATTGAACAGCTGGGCACAGAGAGATTTAAGTGACTTGCTCAAAGTCACCTAGGTAGTAAGTGGAGGAGCCGGGGTTCTAACTCCCCCCGGGCACTTGGCCCTCCAGCCTGATGATAATGGTAACGAGGGCGAAGGCCATGATGCTGTTCCCTCTCAGGACACAGCACACCACAGTTTGCAAAGTGTTTACACACTTGACACCTCATCTGTCCTTCAGCCCAGGGGAGACTCAGAGATCACAATCCCCATTTCGTAGCGGAGAAAATGAAGACCAGAGGAGGGCGATGACTTGCTCAAGGTCACTCAGCAAGTTAGGTGCAGGCAGCGCTTGGGCCCCAGGTTTGCCCCCCAGGCCCGCCTGCCCTGGCCCCTCTGACTGGCAGGACGCACTGAGTTTGGTGCCTCTGAGGAAGGGGCTTTGGGCACCCAGGGTGGGTGCAGCGTTCTGGGCTGGGGGGCAGGAGCTCTGGGGGAGGGCCCCGCTTTGCCTCGGGCTCACTGTGGGAGGCTCAGCTCTCTCGTCTGCAAAACAGACGGCCTGGGTCTGTTGGGCTCTGCCGGCCCTTCCAGCCCGACTCCGAAGCCCTTGCTGTGAGAGGTACTTGGGGAGGCAGTGTTCTCCGCTCGCCTCGCTGCTTTCCCCATCAGTGCAGCTGAGTGGCCCCATTTCTCGTGCAGGGTATTTTTTCCCCCATCTCGGCCTCCTCCCTCCCATCCAGTGTCGCTGCAGGGCACAGGAAGCTGGGGAAGGTATCCAGCCAAGCCCAGCGTGGCAAGGGTTCAGGAGTCAGGACCGCCCACTTAATCTGCCTCACCACGTGCCCCGGAGCAAATGACTTACTCCTTTCGATTTCTTAGCAGAGCAGCTGGTCGTCTGTCTGTCTGTCTGTCTTTCCAGCAGGACTGGGAGCTCCTTGAGGGCAGAGGTCACATGGAAAGATCAGAGCTCGGTAAGTAGTAAGCTCCACGTTCTAGAAACACATGCGGAGAGGCAGGCTGTGGCAGGGACACCGAGCAGGGGAAAGCATGGAGCTGGAGGGGTAGTTGTTGGCTGAAGGGTCTCAGGCCCCTCCACCTCTTGGCTCTGAGACCTCCTGGCATGGGAGAGGCTTGGGAGGCTCTGCCCTCTGTGCGAAACCAAAACAGAACCAAGAAGCATGAAAGTGACTCAACACGGAGGTCGCTTTGTGACCTTTGGGCAGACAGAGGCCTGAGGGTAGATAAACTCAGAGCCCAGGGCTTTTGCGTGGTGGGGCCCCACTGACCGCCCTCAGGGAGGCCTTCATGAGGAGTCGCGTCCCGCCACGTGTATCCGTGATGTTGGCGTGTGGTCTGAGGTTTGCTGGCTGGCTGGCTGGGGAGCTGAACTGCCTGGAAGCAACTTCACACTTGCTCCTTTCTGAACCTCCCCTCTCTCTGTTAGATCCTCAGATCCCCCCACCACCCCAAAACAGACCTGTACCGGGATGCTTGCCGCTGTCCGCTCACCTTTGAACTTGGGTCTGCTTGAACCCAAAGAACCCCAGGGACCACCCATGAAATGCCAGCTAGGGGGGCTCTTTGGGGTTAGACACTCCCCTCTATGTGGCCCTGGGTAAGTCCCTTCAGCTCTCTGAGCCTCAGAATGAGCCCTGCCGCGCGGGACAGAGCACAGAGGCAAGAGGTGAGAGCCAAGACCTCTGAAGCTGGCCGGGGTCAGCAGGGAGAGGTGGCAGTTCCTCTGGGGAGGGAGGCCAAGAGCAGTGGCAGGAAAGAGCCTCCTAGGGACCCGGGTTGGGGCTTCCCATTCTGGGAAGCTCTGGGGTTGGGAGAGGCCCAGAGGCGAGTTAGTCACTAGGCCAACTGTTTACTTCAGTGCATCAATCTTTATTCCTGTGTTCAACCCCAGTGCTGGGAACTGGGTGGGGTGGAGCCAGAGATGCCAAACACAATACTCCCTTCCTCCCTCTGAGCCTCAGTTTCCCTCTCTGACACATGGGGAGGGAAGGCTTCCCCTGTTTCCTTCATCAGGACACTGTGAGGCTCGAAGTGACAATATCTGGGCCTGAGTCTTTCAGCCAGAGTTCAGGCATCGAGGGCACCGGGACTCACTCCTTGCCCTCAGGGGGCTCACAGGCTGTGGGGAGGCCCAAGCCCCACCGGCCACCACCAGCTGGCAGGAAGGACGTGCGGGAGGGATGTGGCTCCCTGACAGGGCAGGTTGGAGAGCCTCTCAGCCACAGTTCTGGCTTCACCGAGCTCTGTCCTGGAAGTTTACGACTGGCCTTGTGTGGGAACCAGGGGCGTTGACACCCCCACTTCTGGGAAGACTTCTAAGACCTTCACACATGTCACCATCTGGGGGACCCCCATGACAGTCTCCAGAGGGTGGAATCCACCAGGAGGCAGAGCTGAGTCCCTTTCTTCTCAGCCATGTTGGGGTCTTAGCTGCAAGAGAGCCTGGAAGTGGACGACGAGAACGGAGGGCCACCCAGGGCCCTGAGTGAGCAAGGGGCAGAGGCCGCAGGGCCATGTAAGGAAGGCCAGAGCTGTCCACGTAGAGGAGGCCACTCCAGCCACAGTCCAGAAGGGCCAGGAAAAGGTAGGTCAGAAGGTATGGCTGTCTCATCCGGGTACAGCAGAGGCCCCCACAGTTTCCAGCATCCTTAGCTGGTGGTGCCCAGAGGTGGCTGTGGGGAGGCTGGCCTGCTCAGGGTAACGCTGGGAAAGCTGGCGACAAAGCTCTCCCACCTTCTCCTCACCTGCTGGAAAACAGGAGCAGGGAGATCAGGACACAGGCCCCACGGTTGAGTGGTGGGTTTCAGGTGTTGTTCTACCTACAGCCACCAGGTGGTGGTAGACTCCAGAGATAGAAGCACTAGGGACCCTCTCTTCCACAGGAGGAGACTGGCCAGGAAGGTAGCTCCCACCACCAGGAAGGTAGCTCCCACCACTGGTGGCTGGATCCCCCCTTTCCTGGGGAAGGGGTACACAAGATATAACCCTGGGAAGTTGTATTGGCTTATCTCCTTGCCTCCAGCAAAATCCACCCAACCAATATGCTGCCAGATTAATCATCTTAAAACAGCGCTGACTATATCACTGGGCTGCTCTAAAACCTTCCATGACGCCCGGTGCCTATGGGATAAATTCCAAATGCTGCCAGGGCCCTCTGAAATATGGTTCCTGGATACCTCTCTCACTAGGCTCATCTCCAAACGCTCTATTGACTTCTTGGTCCTTACTCCTGTATGTTTCTACCTCTGAGCCTTTGCTGCCCTGGGCCCCTCTCCTCGGAGTCCCCACCCTCACCTTGTAGCACTCATCCATCTATCCATCCATCTTTCCATCCATCCATCCACCCACCCATCAGACCTGTTGATACTGCGTCAGCCACCTCCGGCTGCCTCCTTGCCGAGCTTGGATCAGCTGCTCTGTGTCCCCCAGGCCTCCTGGTCTCCACTCCTGATCAGGGGAGGCCAGCGCTTCTGGGCCTCCATCTGAGGATCTGGACTTCTCACGACCCTGTCTGAGGCTCAGCGCCCTGCGCAGTCGGCTTTCCAGGGGCTTCCCCCACGGTTCCCGGAGCTTGCCATAAGAGGGCCGTGGTTCTCGCAAGGACTGGCTGCGTAGCCCTGTCCCCATGGTTCTAGAGGCTGTCGGCACAGAACTACTCCAGGTCCTTGGCAAGACTAGCCTCTGAGATGGCCTGGTGCCTCCACTCATCTGATGGGAGATCACTTGGGAGCAAAGGTTGGTGCTGCTGAGGTGGCCATCATAAACCAAAGGGCAGGCCACATGGGCCAAGCATCCCTGAGTCACCCTCAGCACTGTCTCTCCACCTAGGGCAAAGGGTGCAGGCCTCTCCCCACCATGCCCTCACCTCCAGGCAGCCTTCCCTGACTACGCTATCCCCGAAGAGTTTGGCCTCCCCTAAACTCCTGCAGCCCTGGCTGTCCAAATTTATTCTGTTGATAGTGAGAACAGATGGCTCAACAGCAAAATAGAGATGAATTTTAAGAAACAGGACAGCTCTTGCCCTGGCCAGTATGGCTCAGTTGGTTGAGCGTCATCCCATGCACCAAAAGGTCACTGGTTTGATTCCCAGTCAGGGCACATTGCCCGAGCTGTGGGCTTGATCCCCAGTAGGGGCCATGCAGGAGATGGCAGGTTGATATTTTTCTCTCTCTAAAATCAATGAAAACATAAAAAAAATATTTTTATTTATTGATTTTGGAAAGAGAGAAAGGGAGAGGGAGAAAAAGAAAAACAGCAATCTGCTATCTCCTGCCACGTGCTCTGACCAGGAATTGAACCAGCGACCTCTTGCTGCATGGGCCAACACTCAACCACTGAGCCACACTGGCCAGGTTCTTGCTTTCTTCTTCTTCTTCTTTTTTTTTTTGGTACGTGCCCCTAGCAGGAACTGAACCCGGGACTCTCTGGTCCGTAGGCCTATGCTCAACCGCTGAGGCAAACCGGCCAGGGCCTTCCTTCTTTTTAAAGAAAGAAACAGGACAGCTCCAACCTTGAAGAGTCAAAACACAGAGACAGGAAGTGGCATGGTGGTTGCCAGGGGCTGTGGGGAATGGGAAGTGAGTTAATGGCTTTGAGCCTCAGTTTTGCAGGATGAAAAAGTTCTGGAGATTGGTTGCACAACCATGTGAATGTAACACTACTGAGTTGTACCTAAAAATGACTAAGATGGTCCACTTTGGGTTTTGTGTATTTTACTACAATTAGAAATGTAAAAGCAGGACAGCTCAAGTCTCCTGACTTGGATTTATTCCAGGCCCCGCTCTGCCCCTAATTTTCCAGCAGAGAAGAAAGTTAAGAGCTCAGGTTCTGAGGACCCGCTGCCTCTGGGGAAATGGCGGCTTCATCACTGCAGCTGTGCGACTTTGGGCACCTCCTCCCAATTTTCTTGTCTGTAACAGGGACGAGGAACTCAGGGAATTGTGAGGATGTATAGATATAGATGTGAACAAAGGCCATCTCCATATCTTTGTGTCCTTTTGTGCTGTGACCTTTGACTAACCACTGTCCTTAGTAGGCACATCAAAGCCTTCTAGTTAAGGATGATCTGTGTCCCTTAAAACATAACATACATACTTACATTAGTAATGGCCAGGATGGATATCACACTGGTGACAGTTCGCCTCGCCAGTGTGGCTGAGTTGGTTGAGCGTCTTCCAATGCACCAAGAGGTCACCAGTTCAATTCCTGGTCAGGGCACATGCTGGGGGTGTGGGCTCGATCTCCAGCAGGGGATGTGAAGGAGGTAGCCCATTGATGTGCCATCGATGTTTCTCTCTTTCCCTCTCCCTCCCCCTCTCTCTGAAAATCAACAAACTATTCTTTAAAAAACAATTTCTGTTATATTCTATGGAGTTGCTTACATCACCTTTTGGTCTGAAGATTCCTTCTCCTTACGGTGGCCATCACACCTTTGCCTCACCATGGGACAGAGGATTCAATATGACCATGCTGTGTCCCCACAGGGCCTGGAGCAAAGCAGGGGTTCAGTAAAAATGAGTGGGTGATATTTATTATCTCGGGAAATCCTTCCCCTCTCAGTTAGTCTTGTCATCTGTACAATGGGTTGTTGTGAAAAGCACATGAAATCACGGATGTGGATGCCTCTAAAAGGGAGGCTACCAGCAGCCTCTTTCTCCCAGGACAGGGGAAAGAGAAAGGTACTTGGACTGTCCAGCAGGTCCTCAGAGTCATAGAATTTGAGGTCTGAAAGGGACCTCACAATCAGGTCCATAATTCTTTTTGTTCTAACCACTATTTTCTGAGCATTTTCATTGGTTCCTCCGTGTATTTCATTGAAATTTCATGATAGTCTTATGAGGTGGACATTATTATCCCTCCTTTATAGACCAGGAAACTGAGGCTCAGAGAAATTAAGCACCTGGCCAGAGAGTGTACCCAGTAAGTGGCAGAGCTGGGACCCCTGCTTCAGCCACCCTGCTCTCCTGTTGGTGGCAGAGGCAGGATTTGAAGCCAGGGGTCCTGTCTTCTGTGTCGGGGCTGCTGCACAGGGCACCCCTGTTTGGGGTCAGGGAAGTGCTGGCTGCAACTCTTGGCTCCCCCAGACTCCCCCCTGGGCCTGGCCTTGCTCTTTTTCTTTTCTCTCTGTTTCTAGGCTCTCCTTGGGTAAAGGGGCTCGTACTGTCCACCAGGCTCAGGTCCCAGCCAGAGGAGCTAAGACAGAGCCACTGTGAAGACGAGAATGGACAAAGAGGGCCTGGCCTTCTGTCCCAGCCAATCCTAAAGGTGGACTGAGATCCACACCCAAGCTTCTTCATTCCAACCCTGACCACACCCTAAAAAGCAACAAAACCATTACACAATCTTCAATGCTCTCACCCCAGCATAGTCAAATCAAATCCCCACGATCACCAAAGTCTGAGCTGGGAGGAGCTTGCTGACTCACACAGTCCTAAGATGTCTGGGGTGAATCACTGGCGCTTGCTCAAGCATATAGCTGCTGAGTCCCCTTGCCAAGTGTGTAATTTTACAACTTCCCTAGTCTCTGGAGGAAAAGGAGAAATATGTGGCCTCTCTCTCCTCCTCCCTGCCTCCCTGCCTCCCTGCCTTTCTCATCTGGCAAGTTCTTTTTTCTTTATTGATATTAGAGAGGAGGGGAGGAATCCAGGGCTAGAGGGAGAGACAGATAAAAACATCCATGAGAGAGAACATTGCTTGGCCGCCTCCTGCACGCCCCCCACTGGGGATCAGGCCCACAACCTGGGCATGTGCCCTGACTGGGAATCAAACCAGTGACGTCTTGGTGCATGGGTTGACGCTCAACCACTGAGCCACACCAGCAGGGCTCGCCTGGCAAGTTCTCATTCATCTTTCCATACCCTGCAGTGTGACACCTCCCCTGGAAGCCTGCCTGATCTTTCAGCCCAGGTGAGGGAGGCAGTTTCTTCTCCAGCCAACCAAATACACACAGTAGCAGCAATCACATACTGGGTGTCCCCTGTAGGCTAGGACATCTTTTCATCTCCCTGTCCCCAGGGCATGAGAGTAAATACTTGGTATTAAATATCAAAGACTATTAATTGTCTACTGCTGCATAACACATTACCCCACAATTTGGTGGCTTAAAGCAACACTTATGCACGACCTGTTTCTGTGGGTCAGGAATCCAGGCCCAGCTCAACTGGGCCTCTGGCTCAGGGTCCCTTGCAGGCAGTCATCTCAAGGTTCAAAGGAGGGCGGATCTGCCTCCAAGGTCACTCTAACACTTGTTGGCCGGACTTTGTCCCTTGCAGAATGTTGCACTGAGAGCCTGTTTCTTGTGGGTTGTTGATGCCACGTGGGCCTCTCCCAAGAGTAGCTTACGATGTGGCAGCTGGCTTCAATCAGAGCCAGTGAGAGGGCGGGAAATAACGGGCAGGCAGAAGCCAGAGTCTTTCGGGAACTTGATCTCAGAAGTGACCTCCCTTCACTTCTGCCACATTCTGTTCCTTTAAAGCAAGTCACCAGGTCCAGCCGGCACTCAAGGGAGGGGATCCCACCAGGGCAGGAACATCAGGACGCAGGACTGGAGGGGGTCATCAGGGAGGCTGCTCACCTGTGACCCCTGGATTCCAAACCTATCATACTGCCTGAGTTGAAAGCACTTTCACACGGCAGCTATGTGCCTTGAGCGACTGGCTTAACCTCATGTGCCTACAGATTCTCAGCTATAAAATAGGGATAATACCTTATTTCATCAAATCTAAGGTGGCCTCGATGAAAAGGGAGCATTATTTTATACACCACTAAGAAAGAATACCCACTGCCCATTCATCAGAAGGTGTAGAGCCATTTCAGGAGTTAAAATGCAGGGGGAAAATGTGTGACTTGAAATTAATGAAACACACAGTATCCATTCCCTAAAGCGGTTCTGAGACTTACACGGCTGGTGCCATTTAAGGTTGCAGTGAGGCTGAGATATCCGAAGGCAGCGAACCGGGGCAGGTTGCCCAGATGTTCCTTCTTATTAGTGAACCACCGAAATTCATCCACATCTACACACCACAGTTAAGATTTTGTTTTGATAATGCCTAGCAGTGAGGCCAAGGGGAAGAGGGTGGAATCTCCATCCCTGGAAAAGGAGGAATTTTGATGTACATAAAGGAAGGCACCTTAAAATAGACACCAAGTGCTGAAGGTGCACAGAAGAGAATGGGAGACCACATCTGGCTCGGGGGCGGGGGAAGGCTTCCTGGAGGTGGCAGTGTTAGCGCTCAGCCTCAAAGGCAGGGAGGACTGGAGCAATAGAGGTGGGGATGGGATCCTGAGGGTGACTAGGGCCTGAGAGCACACAGGGTTGCCCTTGGGCTGGAGAAGAATCTGGAGAGAGACTAGAGCCCACTCTCGGGGGGTTCCAGAGCCGGGAAGAGGAACCTGACTGGCCTTGGTAGGCAATGGGGATGGAGTGTGCGCTCCTTTCCAGGAGCCCCACCTCTGTGATTACATTTCACTCTCACCCACTCTGGAGCTTCACCCCATTTTTCAGATGACATAACGGAAGCTCAGAGAAGTGAAGCAACTTGCCCAAGGACATACAGTCAGTGGTGGGCCTTGAATCCAGCCCCGCAGTCAGGCCAGCAAAAAGTCCTCAGCAAATGTGTTCCACCTGC